TATGGAAACACAAATTATACAGTGGAACGTCAGAGGACTGCTTAGGAACCTCGACGACGTCCAAGAGCTTTTATACAAACACTCACCTCAAGTGCTGTGTGTACAGGAAACACACCTAAAATCCTCCAATACAAATTTTTTACGTGCTTACGTCATATACCGAAAGGACCGAGATGATGCTGCTGCGTCATCCGGTGGTGTAGCCATTATTATTAACCAAGGAGTAGCGTGTACACATTTACCACTCCAGACATCCCTTGAGGCAGTGGCTGTTCGAGCGGTACTTTTAAACAAACTCGTCACCATTTGCTCTTTGTATGTACCTCCCCACCACCGTCTTGAAAGACGTGAATTTCAGTCTTCAATAGACGAACTGCCTGAACCCTATTTGCTTCTTGGCGACCTAAATGCACATAGTGGACTCTGGGGCGATTCTCGCTGTGATGCACGAGGTCGTCTCATTGAACAATTTCTCTTCTCTTCCGGTGCCTGTTTGTTGAATAGGAAAGAGCCAACATACTATAACGTTGCCAACAAAACTTACTCGTCTATAGACCTCAGCATCGTATCACCTTCACTCCTACCCCTACTGAAATGGAAAATCATAAATAATCTATATGGAAGTGACCATTTTCCTGTAGTGTTGAGTTCACAAACAACATATGAATGTCTTCTACATGTTCCCAAATGGCTGATAAACAAAGCAGACTGGGAACAGTTCCACAACACTACACGTTTGAGTTGGACAGACATATGTAGGTTAAACATAGTTGAAGCTGTGAAGTACTTCACAGCTTTTCTAACTGACGCAGCAGCCAGGTGCATACCGCAAACATCTGGAATCCCCTGCAAGCGACACGTCCCATGGTGGAACACGCAGTGTCGTAATGCGCGAAAGGAACAGAACAGGGCATGGAGATTGCTGCGCAACTCGCCAACAGCGGAAAATCTTGACACGTTCAAGAAAATAAAGTCTCAAGGAAGGAGAACGCGTCGGCAGGCCAGAAGAGAAAGCTGGCAGAAGTTTTTGTCAGGGATCAATTCATACACACAGGAGGCAAAAGTCTGGAACATGGTCGGTAGGATAGCAGGGAAACAAGTACACACACTTCCACTCGTAAACACTCAAGGTGATACCTTGGAAGATCAGGCAAACTTCCTCAGGGCACACTTTGAACAGGTATCCAGCTCGTCCCACTATACTGACACTTTCCAAAAATACAGAACAAGAATAGAAAAGCAGAAACTCGAACACAAATCCACTAGATACGAGGCATATAACCAAGCTTTCAGTCTAGCGGAGCTCTGAACATCTCTAAACTCCTGCAGCACTTCTGCCCCAGGTTCTGACCGTGTGGTGTATGAAATGCTAAAAAACCTACCAGCCGAAACACGAAAAACCCTACTTTGTTTGTACAATGCTATCTGGTTTTCTGGCACTATCCCTACCTCCTGGAAAGAGGCTATTATTATTCCCATTTTGAAAGAGGGCAAGGACCCTTCTTTAGCTTCAAGTTATAGGCCTATTGCACTTACAAGCTGCTTGTGCAAAGTATTCGAAAAAATGATAAACTGCCGACTTGTACATATCCTTGAAACAAACAATTTGCCCGACCCATTTCAGTGCGGGTTTCGAGAAAGTAGATCCACCACAGACCACCTTGTTCGTATCGAGGCACAGATCAGAGACGCCTTTGTCCATAAACAATATTTTCTCTCTGTGTTCCTCGATATCGAAAAGGCGTATGATACAACATGGCGTTTCGAAATTCTAAGAGACCTGTCCCACCTTGGTGTGCGCGGAAGAATGTTTCATATAATCGAAAGTTACCTGTCAAACCGGACATTCCGTGTCCGTCTGGGCAGTGTGCTCTCTCAAACATTTGTCCAGGAAACAGGCGTGCCACAAGGTGGCGTGCTTAGTTGCACACTTTTTATTATCAAAATGAATTCTTTGCACTTGTCCATTCCCCGCAATATGTTCTATTGTACATATGTCGACGACGTTCAGCTTGGCTTCAAGTCATGCAACTTGGCCATGTGTGAGCGGCAGGTTCAGCTGGGTTTAAATAAGGTCTCCAAATGGGCAGATGAAAACGGATTTCGACTTAACCCACAAAAAAGCACGTGTGTCTTGTTCTCTCGAAAGAGAGGCATGCACTCGGAACCTGACATTCGACTGAACGGGCAACGTCTGTCCATCAAAGCCGAGTATAAATTCTTAGGCTTAATCTTGGACAACAAGTTAACCTTCGTACCGTACATCAAGTATTTAAAAACAAAATGTTTAAAAGCCATGAATGTTATAAAAGTGTTGTCCCGTACTACGTGGGGTAGTGATAGGCAATGCCTCATGAACCTCTATAAAAGCCTCATTCGCACCCGCTTAGATTATGGGGCCGTTGTCTATCAGTCTGCTACTCAAAGTGCCTTGAAGATGCTGGACCCCGTGCACCATTTGGGCATCCGCCTTTCTACGGGTGCTTTTCGCACCAGCCCCGTAGAAAGCCTTTATGTTGAGTCAAATGAGTGGTCGCTTCATCTGCAAAGAACCTACATGTCCTTTGTATACTTCCTTAAGGTGAAAGCAGATAAGAGGCACCCCTCATACTCTACTATTAATGACTTGTCGAGCTCCATTCTTTTTCAAAACAGGCATTCAATGAGGCAGCCCTTCTCAGTTCGCCTGAAGGGTCTAGCTGAGGACACTGGAGTGTCACTCGAACACAGTTTAATGGCTCCTGTAGCATACCCGCCACCGTGGCAGTGGCAGACTATAGACTGCGATGTGTCTTTTCTAGAAGTTACAAAACATGCGCCCATTGCCCATATCCGAACATATTTCTTGGAACTTCAACACAAATACACACGTCCTGAGTTTTTTACAGATGCCTCTAAGTCTAACTCCTCTGTGTCCTACGCTGCTGTTGGCCCTTCCTTTTCGGATGCTGGCCCTCTACATCCAGGCACAAGTATCTTCACAGCGGAAGCTTACGCGATACTTGTGGCAGCTAAACACATTAAACAATTACAAATACAAAAAGCAGTAATTTATACAGACTCCCTCAGTGTGGTAACGGCTCTGCACAGTCTTAAAAAACAAAAAAACCCTGTCCTTGTCTCACTTTACTCCATATTTTGCACACTCTACACACTCAACCAACATGTTGTGGTGTGCTGGGTGCCAGGGCACCGTGAGATCCAAGGCAACGTGAGGGCGGATCAGCTCGCTGCATCCGTCCACAAAAACACTGCCCCTACACCCATATCAATCCCGGTCCTTGATCTGAAGCCGTCTCTCAAACGAAACCTCAGGGACTACTGGCAGAGCAAGTGGGATACACACACACAAAACAAACTACACGTTATCAAGCCACACCTTGGCCATTGGCCACCAGTATCAAAATCACGTCTAACAGAGGTAACACTAACAAGACTCAGAATAGGACACATATACACGACACACACACATCTTTTGTCCGGTGGTGATCCACCATTGTGTGATAAATGTGGTGAGGCATTAACAGTTCTTCACGTTTTAATTCAATGTAAACATTTAGACACTCTAAGAAGACAACACTTCCCACTATCCTACCGACAACATATACCTTTACACCCTGCAATGTTCGTCGGTAGGGAACCGCTTTTTAGTCACAAATCATTATTAGCGTTTTTAAAGGAAATCCATAATTTTCATATCATATACCCGGGCATACCGTAGCACGACCTCTCTAGAGAGGTTTTTGCTGCGGTGGCTACACAGGAAAGCACTTGCCTCACGGCCCTTGCACGCAGGGGTACTAACGTGTGAGGTACTTGTGCTAATGCCATACATGTCCACCATCGTTTTTCATTATCACCAACTTTTGTCACCTATTCACACCATGCACACCTTTCACGGCATAGTCATGATTTTATTACTTGTATGTTTTTACCCGCTTTACTGCGAGGAATTTTATGGCCCTTATACGGCCGCTAATCACAACCATTGTCCACATTCCTGTCCCATGAACTGGCGCTCTTTGGCCATCAAATGGCCCTTGCGCCAAAAAAACACCATATATCATCATAACATTCGGCTCCGTTTCTGAAATGTTAAATAAATGTGAGCTGGAACCACTGGATTGTAGGCGAAGAATTGCAAGGTTAGTCTTGCAATTCTTGCAAGTTGTATAAACTATACAACAATGAATCTGGTTTAAATAAAGAATTGTACATTCTGCCACCTCCTCAGCACTCAGCAAGGTTAAATCATTCAAAAACTGTAAGACCATATGCTCCTAAAAATAACACATTCAAGTACTCCTTTTTTATAAGAACCATTTAGGACTGGTATCCACTGCCTTCCGACTGCGTGCACGCTCCGACTTCTTCTAGTTTTGACCTCTGTGTTAGGAACCTTATGTAACCCTCTCCTGCTAGGATGGTGAAAAACTGTCTGCAGTATTCCTTAAATAAATAAATAAATAAATAAATAACATGAAGCAAGCAGGGTTTAATGTTTTTTTTAGGTGCTACGTAAAGTTTTGTGTGCAGACTGTTTATTCAAATTTCTTGAAGAAGAAAATGCTAAAAAATGTCAACAACTTCAATTGGTAAGCAGTACTTTCTCTTGTGTCCTTTATGCAAATATATTTTGTTGTTTACTGCACTCATTCATAATTATGGATTCATGGCAACTCGCTGAGATTTCTGCATTGTTACAGTAGTTCCAGAACACTCAGAATTTAATATCATATGAGTACACTCAAGCCTATTGATTTTGCGGCACTATAAGTTTGTTATATCCAAAGTTTTGTTATAAAAGTTTATTCCTAGCACCATATTGCGAGACTATTCCTAATTTACTTCGTGATAGCAGATATTTGTTATATTCGGTTCATTATATCATGGTTTTAGTCATTTACGATTTCCTCGAAAACCAAAGTCCTAACCTTCTTTGCTTTCTAGCCTGCTTTTTTTTTTTCCATTTTAGTTATTTGATGTCATTCTTGTTACAGATCGGGGGAAGTCATCATTGAAACTATCAATGTCCTCCAAGCCTGTCGACCTCGTGAAGTACGTGACTTCGACATTTGTAAAAAAGAGATCTTACGTCTGAGCCAGTTGGTGCCACAGCTTACTTCAAGTTCTGTCAAGAGCCGGACTTGCTGCCCCGTTACGCGTATTGTTTTATGTTCTCATTTCTAACTCTGTTGTGTAAAATATTCGTGTATGCAAAAATCGATCATTGTATAACTGTTGCAGTGTTTCTAACAATGTGAGCGATGTCTTCTTTTATTTCGGACTACACTCTGCTTCTGTGATAGTACACGAAGTACATTAATTTTTCTGTTTTTTTTTTCCTTTTTTTTTTTGTCGAGTTCCTGGCAGAGAACTCGTGTTTTTGTTAACTTATTGGGTAATTGTCAACCCAGCAATTATAATGCGATGCCTCATTTCTCACAAGAGTGTGCGAGAGATCAGTAATTAAGCATTCCTTTGACACTACCACCATTTTTTTTGTTCAACTTAAATCTGTTTAAAACTGCTTTCACTTCAAGGTTTTCTGTTACACCAATGTTCAACTATTTTCTACTAGTGCATCATTATTGTACACCATTTGTTTCAGCCTGTTCCTTTTTATTTATATTTTTATCCTACTCGCCATCTGTTGCTGTCAATTTAAGGGGGCTGTCACTTCATCAATCTTTGTCGCCGTATTGTCTTTATTGCATTTCAGTCGTGTTTCGTTACTGTACCTTTTATGTTTGTAAAAGATAAATAAACAGCGAATTGAATTTTAAATGCATTCAAAGTTGCCAAGGCTTCAGACACAAAAAAAAAAGAACTTATTTGGCTATTGGAACCTGTTATGGCAGCACTGTAGTACCCGGTACCTTTTGTATTTAAGAACACTCCAAGTTTCATAGTAGTCTCTCTTTTTAGCACCTGATGAGACGAAAGAAGGTGGAGTGTATTGCCATGCGTCTTTATTAGAGTTGCCACCTTGCCACTAGGAGAAAACCGGATCTTCAAACAGAGGGGGTGGGGGGTAAGCAGGCTGTTTATCTTGCACCGAATATTTTTTAAAAAGTGACAAAGCTTGCACTCAGCTGTGAAACACACCGAGGCATGAGATGACAAAACTGGATGATTTTAAAGAGAAATGTGGTTGTTTTTAGGCCCTAGCTAGATGATGCTAGATGACTTCTACGGCGGTTCTCAGTGCGGAGGTTTGATTTGTACCACCATGGTTACAGACACAACACGAGCACATCGTCATTGGTGCTGGCATTCCATCGCTTCGTGTTCTTCCCACAGTCACCATCGCCTTTTCCGTTCCCTAGTATTCTCTCTAGAGCTGTGCGAATAGCAAAATTTTCCATGTGAAGCAAATTAAAATATCGAAGTGCGAGAATGAATCGAATATTTTTCCAATAATTTGAAGCGAAATACCAGAAGAAAAAAAAGTTGTAGAGGACTCCTAAACATATTCGTATAAGATAGCAACATTAAAGTATTTCCTTTTGCATGGTTCATGAAGTGTTGGCGGGGTGATGTTTCCTAGTTGTCTTACCAACAATGAGGCAGTGCAGAGGCCAATTTGTATTTGTGTATATGATTTGGTACAACGAAAGTGTTGCCGACAATACCTTGCACACGAAAGGCAAAGATGCTATTTATTCAGCCTCTCTCCTTCAACCTGTGTGGAAGCTTAACCGATGTGGCAGACAAAGGTGTGCTCCCGAAGTCTGGTGCACCCAATCTGCCTCGTAGAAGTCGATATATAAGAATGACTGAAATTTTGGATGCTAAAGATCTTCAGCGCCCAATTTTTCACACCTGTTGCGCAGATTTCAGGTCCTAAACAGCATCAACGGAGCCCTCAATTCTGCCGCATCTTTCGATCATCTCCGTGTTGCAACCAACGTTACCTTGAGTCAATGCATTTGCAATCGTAGCGGAGCTTGAAAGGCAGCTTTGCCACAATACGAGAATATGATGAGGTGAAGCATATTGAATGTATGAAGGGATCATTTTAAATTAGATGTTGACAGTGTGTGCCTTCAGGAATTTCGAATAGTCAAATTCCCGTGCGAATGAAACAGCAAGTACTATTCTAAAAATATGCGCACACCCCTAATTCTCTCTATGTGCTCAGTGTTTTCGGCTCCCCGCCGTTGCTTATTGGGCCAACTGCTGCCTTCATTTTGAGTGAAATTTGGCTCAGTTCTGTGGCACATAGCTTAGGGGGTGAAACACGTGGTTCAACCCCCGTTAAAATTTAAAATTTTACTTGCCTGTAGGCACGTACAAACTAACCCCCTCCCCTGAAAAAAATTGAGTGTTCTACTTGGCATATTTCTACATCATGTTTGTACCTGTGCATAGTTAGCGTAACGCTGTCTTCCTTTTCTAATTAGTCTACAGAGCGATAAGTCAGGGAGGGTTAGAAGTGGCGTCATCTACTTGGGGCACTAGCAGCGTCCGCAGGTCCCGTACTTTGCCGCTGACCCGCAAGTCGCAGGTTCAAATCTCGGCTGCGGCGGCAGCATTTTCGATGGAGATGAAGATGCTGTAGGCCCATGTGCTCATATTTAGTTGCACGTTAATGAACCCCAGGTGGTCGAAATTTCCGGAGCCCTCCACTACGGAGTCTTTCATGTGGTGGTTGAACCCCACATATAAATCAACAAGGCGCGTTTACACTAGAGCGACACGACACTGACGTGAGCCCGCTGAAGACCTGAGGCAGACGCAAACCATCGGCCGACAGGTCGCCAGACCCATAACCACACTAGGCCAACGACGCCGCCTCAAAAGACAGCGTTTCATCGTAGTGTAACATGATGAGAGACCGAAAGCACCAGCAAAATGCATCAGAGACCTGTTGTCGGCGTGTCTTTAGGAGATCGGTGGCTGAGCGAAAATTCACCCCATGTCTTCGCTTCAAATGACCACAAAGCGGGCAATCTTGGAAGAGTTAACAATGCCCTCTCCGAATCTTGCGCAGCGTCTGAATAGGCAGCTCCAGCTTCCAACTGAAGTATTATCTTCGCTTCCCTATTGTGTGCACCACCCGTCTCTCGTTACCATGGATTATGGCGGGGACTGCTCCCCGTAACCGGAGTGGGACAATGGCAGAGCGGGAGAATGGCTGAAAATGAGGTGCAGGTGTGCAAGTTTCGTCAGTGTCGCTGCGTATTCCTCCAGTGCGACTATAAAATTGGCCAACGAAAGGCTGTGAGCACGACAAGGCAGGGACGGGGTCTAGGAGAGACCGCCCGCAGACTGTTTGTGTCTTTGCAGTCTACATAGGTCGACGACATGAGAAAAGACGCTTCTAACGACAGCCCGCAGATCAAAATCAGTGTCGTGTCTCTCTAGTTTAAACGCGCTTTAAGCGGCAATGAGCAAGACTGCCATGGGACCTCAGGTCTAACACACCAACTACATGCAGTAAGTGTACGAAGTGCATAAAAAAACTTTTATTTACTAAATGACAGCGTCTATGTATATCTATTGAATGTCCATTCAGTGTCCATGTGCAACGTACCTGCAACCTTACTCAGCTGAGCTTTTCATAGTTGCGGGTAATTTGGATTGCTGTGGATATCTAAGAGACATTTGCAATGTCCACGAGAAACATACCATGGATGTCTACAAATTATTTGTGGTTCGGTGGTACACTACGAAGTATAATACTGGTACTTCCACCAGTGCATGCTCTGTGAGTGCCGCGGGGTCTGGAGCCAAAGGGGGGGGGGGGTTCAAACCCTGCGAGATTCGTTTATGAATAAAATGTATTAACATACATAAAGTATTTTTTAAACCACCCCTCCCCCCCCCCAAAAAAAATGCTGGCTACCCCCCAGCTGCAGTGGGATAACCGGAGTGAGACCGCACAACTCGACGCATCTTTGCTTGTTGCAGCTCGTTTATTCGTGAGGCTCGCGGATGACTCAGCACTCGGTGAAGCACAGATCCCATACACGTACACCCATGATATCCACATTTTAAAAGCCCGAAAGGAAAAGAAGTGAGCATAAAGAGTCCCATGCGAAGTAGCTGCAAGACAGGATGGATGTCTGTTGACAATCGGTGAGAGCCTGAGCCAAGCTCTCAAGAACTATCCCAGACAAGAACCGGAGGGAGGGGGGGGGGGGCTCTGGCTACCACGAAGCAGCCTGGAGGGGGCCCAAACCTCCCGCACTCTCCGCCTATGCCAAATGCATATTGTCACACACCAAGAGCCATGAAGACAAGACAGGAACAGCGGGGCAGAAAGACACGAGCGTGTATCTTTAAACGAAGCCCTAACACACACTTCTTCTTTGTTCTCTTTTCCCTTTTTGGCTCGCTAGGGCTTGCCGGCTCACAACTCTAGGTGGCATCATTCCCCCTCCCATTAGAGCATCGACTCGATGCTCATACACAAGGTGACAGCAGGGCCCATAAGGGAATAAAAAGAAAGGGAGAAACAATACTTATAGTGCACAGGGCATATGCAGGTGCAAAAAAAAGAGAAATGTCTGTGGTTGGTCATAAGAAAAAAAAACGATAATACAGTTCAAAGTTCTTATGAGAACCTATGGACAACGAAAAAGAAATGTTTGCTGCCCTGGCACAATAAGGCGAGTATTACTGCGTAAAATAAGGTTTTAAGCGGACGACATGCACAATCTCTGTTCGTGGTGAGTGGCGCTGGGTCGTTGCCGAGCCTCCGTCTGGAATGACATTGTAGTTGACCTCGTTCAACCGCCGTAATACTTTGTAGGGTCCGAAGTACTTGCTCAGGAGTTTCTCGCTGAGACCTCGCCGTCTAACAGGAGTCTAAACCCACACTTGGTCGCCAGGTTGATAGGTAACTGGTCGATGGTGGATGTTGTACCTTCGGGAGTCTTTACATTGCTGCGATCTTATGTGCACGCGGGCTAGTTGACGTGCTTCCTCTGCTCGCTGAATGTAATCCTCGACATCAGGAGTTAGCAGCTCGTACTGGTCGATGTCACAAGGAATCATGGCGTCTGGCATGGTTTGCACGTCTCGACCGTAAACGAGGCGGAAGGGTGCGAACCTTGTCGTTTCCTGGGTTGCGGTGTTACACGCAAACGTTACGTACGGCAGGATCTCGTCCCACGTTTTATGCTGCACATCCACGTACATAGAAATCATGTCAGCCAGTGTTTTGTTTAGCCTTCCTGAAAGTCGTTACTCTGGGGGTGGTATGCGGTTGTCTTACGGTGGTTCGTGTAACTGAGTTTGAAGATGTCGTCCAACAGTTTTGCCGTAAACGCTGTCCCTCGGTCAGTGATGATGAGTGACGGGGCGCCGTGACGAAGCACTATGTGGTGCATGAAAAACTGGGCGACTTCAGATGCTGTACCGCGTGGCAGCGGCTTCGTTTCAGCGTAACGCGTCAAATAATCAGTTGCGACGATGATCCACTTGTTTCCAGAGTGAGACAAAGGAAACGGTCCAAGAAGGTCCATTCCAACTTGGTCAAACGGCGTACGCGGTGGGTCGATGGGTTGTAGGAGGCCTGCAGGCTTTACAGGTGGTGACTTGCGACGCTGACATTCGCGGCATCCTTTCACGTAGCGTTTCACACAAGCTGCAAGTTTTGGCCAGAAATATAGCTGTCGTACCCGGTAGAGCGTCCGTGAGTATCCCAGATGGCCGGATGTCGGCTCATCGTGGCAGGCTAATAAGATATCATCACGAAGGTCTTGAGGAACGACTAGAAGATAAGATCTGCTGCCGGTACCGGTGTTTTTTTTTTCTATAATATGCCGTGTCGTAAGCAAAA